CACCATCGTCGCCATCAGCAACAACATCCGCATCAGCAGCCGCATCATCCATCTGATCAACAACAACAACAGCATCAACAACAACAACAACATTAACAACAACAACAACAACAACAACAACAACAACAACAACAACAACAATAACAACAACAACAAAAACAACAAAAACAACATTATCATATTCAGCATGGTCATTATCATCATCATCATCATCATCATCATCATCGTCATCATCATCAGCATCATCATCATCAGCATCATCATCATCATCGTCATCATCAGCATTATCATCGTCATAATCAGCGTCGTCAGCATCGACAACAGCATCGACATCATCAACATCAGCATCATCATCGTCATTATCATCAACATCATCAGTATTAGCATCATCGTCAGCACCAGCAATCCTCATCGTCGTCATCAGCATCAGCATCGTCATCAAAAGGGCAGCAGCATCATCAGTAGCATCGGCATAATCCTCATCATCGTCATAAGTATCAGCATCATCCGAATCAGCACCATCAGCATCATCATCACCAACATCATCATCAGCATCAGTATCGTCGTCGTCGCCGTCGTCGTCGTCTTCCCCTCCTACTCACCATCCACCGCATCATAATCATCATCATCATCATCATCAGCAGCAGCATCATCAGTATCATCATCATCCTCCTCCTCATCACCATCATCGTAATCATCATCAGTAGTATCATCAGCAGTAACAGCAACTTCATAATCAACATCAGCCTCATCATGATCATCGTGATCATCGTCATTATCATCGTCGTCGTCATCATCAGTATCATCATCAGCATCATCATCAGCATCGTCATCATCACCAGCAGCAGCATCATCACCGCCATCATCATAATCAGAATCATCAAAGTTATCACCGTCGTCATCTTCATCCCTGGCTCGCCTTGTCCGTGTCCTTCTCCCGCATCCTCCTCTTCCTCCACCTCCTCCTCCTAGCCATTTCCAGGTCTCTGCATTGAGAATAACTGAAGCAACTCACTTGGAAATGGCGCAGCTGCCTCGAGACAGCTTCAGTGTCAGATGCCTCAGCAGGGCAGTGGTGCAGGGCCTCTCTCCCACTGGCGCTACTCGTATTCCTGTGTTGGGCATAAGAATCGAGGGCGGGAAACCCAATGTCGGTTATGCGGGCGGGCAGCACCCTCTTGGGCCCTACAAGCTATGCAGCGAGCGAGGTACCATGCAGCCCAAGACCAGCCCCGGCAAGGCCCCATTGGGCAAGTGAAGCCATGGGTCGCCGCATGATTCGTCGCTAAATCGGAACATCAAAGAGGCGGTGGCCCAAGCGAAGAAGGAGCTACAGAAAGAGTTGGAGCTGGCGTTGCTCGGAGACCCCCAGCTTTGCCCCTCGGAGAAGCAGCAGGAGGCCATATCGGTCAACATCGGCGGGTGCTCCCATGCAGCGGCTGTGCTGACAGCCGAGGTGCTCAGCGAGGATCAGGAGTAGCTCGAGAAGCACAACCAATCGCTGGTGGAGCTGGGTGCGATTATCAAGAAGAACAAAATTGCCACGGCGGTCCAAGCGCTCGGCAAGCCGAAGGAGAGCCCGGGCGTGGCAGATGCGTACCAGGCGCTCCCGATCGTCCAGAAGCTGTTCGAGTCGCTCGCGCAGATGGGGGAGCTGCCTGGGTTTGCGCGAAAGCCGTCGCGCTGCAGAACTCCGTCAACGACGCCAAGCAAGGCCTGGAGTCCGAGGCGAAGGCAGCCGAGGACGAGAAGGCACGCAATGCGGTGGCAGAGCAGGCGGCCAGGCCTGCTCAGGCTGCTGCTCCTTCCGCTGGCACTGCCGATGGCAGTGACCTGCCAGTGGATGATGGCGCCGACGACTTCGACCTTGACGATGGCGACTTCGACTTCAAGCAGGAGGGGGATCGCGCGAAGGTCAAGCGCATCCAGGACCTCCTCAAGCGCAGCGAGAAGCAGCGGAGGGTTTAGCCAGACCATTGTCGGCTACCCTCACGCCCACAGCGCGGCTCGGTGCGTCGGGAACCTCTTGGCGAACCGACCCCGCGCCGCCCGCCTTCGGGGGGAGTAGTCGCTTGGGCGGAGAGGCCAGTGAGCAGAGCCATCTCTTCCCGAGTCGCGCCGCGAGCTTGGACATCGTGACGGCGAACGTCACGACGTGGTCCTGAAGGAAGGACCTGCTGATGGGAAGGCTGGACGTGGGGGCGGGCCTAGTCTTAGATGTTGTTCTCGAGCATTCCAGGAGCATCCTGAAGTCCAGAGGCCCTTGATGCCAGTGTAGCAACCCTGCACAGGTCCTTCACCTTGCCCTCGCCTGAATTGGAGCCAGTATGAAGTCCTCGTCAGGGATCGTCGGACCCTCCAGCGAGTCCATCAATATGGAGCGTTTCTCCCCCAGCAGAACTGGGGCGGCTGTGAAGCCATGGATGTTGCGGCGAACGGCTTTGTTTCCTTGGGCAGGTAACAGTGCGGGCGATCAGAGTGGAACTGGAAGCGGCTTGAGAATGCGTTGTTCGGTCGAAAGCCCTGGCTCAGCAGGCACGGTCGGCATCTTGACGTGAACCTGTCGTCGGGCACCCGCTGGTCTCAGCAGCGTCTCTTCCGCCACGACAGGTCTGCGTCAAGAGATTGCATGATGCGTGGCTGTCTTGGGACGCTGTTCCATCGAAGCTCGTTGTGCGAGTGCGCTGACAGTTTCAGGCGCACCGGCATGCCCCGCTCGGTCGGGGAGGCGGCCAGTAGAGTTCGGAAGCTGGGGGAAGACGAAGCCGAGTTGCTTGCCCGCGGCCCTCGAAAAAATCTGCGGCCGACCAGAGGCTCCTGAGGAGCACTGGGTTCGGTGGGTCGGGGCCCACCCTGGATGGCGTTGGGGAGGGCCCATATTTGTTCACGGCTCGGCGTTCCGCAATGAGCACGGCCCCTGCAGGCGAGCACGATAGTCGGCGGGTCGAGTAGACCAGCGGGACAACTTCGCTGCTTGAATGCATGGGGCGGTGCCGAGGTCGTGGGGGAGCCCGAGCAGCGGGCGCGGGACGGGACGGGGAACGCTACGCGTTTCATATACTTGCGCGGTTCTCCGAACCCCAGCTGATGGCGACGACGGTGTTGCCCTAGAAGCTTACAGTGACTGTGCTGGCTCTGCAAGGTGTGCGCGTAATTCGCCGAAGGCCCTGGACCCCAGGAACGAGCGTCGCCACTTATGGAGACTCTGGTGAGACCGCGTTAGGGCCTCCTCGTCCGTGCTCAAAGTCAAAATCCACAGGAGCGTCTCCGAGGCATGTTGAGGACCTTTGGCCGCTTCGGGGGAATCCGTTGGCCGGCAAGTGGGCCAAAGCTGGGGCCCGTCTTCGGGAGGTTCCAGAGGATCAAGACAATGCTGTTGAGGCCTGCGAGCGCAAGGCACAAGACGTTGCCCTGCGGCTCGGCGGGCTGCATGGGTGGCTGCACGAGGCAGGCTTCCAAGACTCAGACGGAGTTGGAGGCACTGCCGATGTTGTGCTAGACCTGGACGTGGACACCTCTCAGCTGTAACCCGAGGAGGCTCAGGCCTGGGAGAAGCACTGCGAACGCAGAGCTGCCCTCGAGCTTCGTATCGCCATCCCGCCAGAGCTGTACCCTGGGCAAGCCCCAGCTCCCTCTGCGGAGCCTACCGCTGCTTGGACGGCGGACCGCACGTCGATGCTGATATGCTGAACCCGTTCGGAGACTTGAGCACCTGCTTCACTTCCTCCTGGTACCTCCCACTCCCCTGAGCAGACGCTGTTTCCAGAAGCGGGCCAAACGCGTACTTGGAAAAAAGGCAGTTTGCCCCTGCCATCGCTGCAAAGTGGCAATTGACCGTCATGCGGCCCTCGGCGCACAGCCTCAACCACCTCTCGCATAGGAGTTCGCCCAGCAGTTCCTGGTCGTAGGCCAAATCGTTGATAGGGCCCAATTACTCGAAGTCTTTATCCCAGTCCTCGTCTGAACCCTTGCTCCAGACCGCTCCGAAGGATGTTGGCCTTCTTGCCCTTTCAGAATTTCAACGCTCCAAGACGTCCCAAGAGGCCCCAAACAAGGCCCCAATACAGCCCAAGAGAGCCTCAAGATGGCCCAGGAGGCCCAAAGACAAGCCCAAGAGCCCCCCGAGACGACCCCGAGAGGGGCCCAAGAGGGGTAACAAGAACTGATACTTCGAGCCCTCCACCCCAAGATGCCCCCGAGATCTCCCGAGAGACCACCTCCTCCTCCTCCTACTCCTCCTCCTCTTCCTCCTCCTCCTCCTCCTCCTCCTCCTTTTTCCCTTCCTCCTCCTCTCCTCATTCCACACACGTTCCCACAAGGGCTTCCACAACGGCTGGGGGAACACGTAGTCCAACGGCTTGGCAGGACTTCGGTCCGACATTCGGCCCCATGGGGGGGTCCAAAAGGCAGGGGGGCGGTGGCTCGCCGTGGGCGTCTTCGAAAGTACGAATGAATCCCCCGTTTCTCTCTCTCTCTCTCTCTCTCTCTTTCTCTGCGACAATGCACTGAAAAGAATGAAAACATCTCCGTCCGGCGCTGGAGGGACGGACAGCCAGGCTCAATAGATGAGCTCCAAATGCCAGGCAGTGTCCATCCGAAATGATTTACACCTGTCCGCTCGACCACCTGCTTACGCAGCGAACTCATACCATGCAACCTCACGGCCAAATGGCTCAACAGGGTCGTCAAAGACACGTTCGAAAGCATGACTGCCTGCCCCCATGTGGGCGTCTATCGGACGCTGGGAAACTGCATAGGATACCAGAGCGAGCTCACCTGAAGGACACCGATTACACACCTTCACGCATCATGGCCAGGGCTGGTGTAGGTGTAAAGTCGGCGTCACCCGACGTACAGCATCGCTGGACCAGTCGGAGTTGCTTACATATTATGTGTCTGCATATGTGTGGACGTGGGAAAATCACGGAGGTCACTTAACCCTGGGGACTGCCCCGGGAGCATTGGCCCGCTAATCTCGGACTTGCGGCCGAGCAACGCTCCTTGAACTCCCTGTACGTCCCCATGAACCGAGCAGCGTGAGCTGCTCGATCCCCGACTCGGCCCTCCTGTGCGGCGCCGGAGAGGAGCGAGGTAAGGTAGGGTGCCCACTGGAAGAGACCTCCGTATACCAATGTCAGAGCGCACCAAACAAGAGTCACGCATACCAGTTGTGAATGATGGCGGAAGCTCATACAAACACAAGAGAACTGATCTAACTCATTAGCAAGAAGCATGTGAAGGTATGGGCCCCTCCTCCTCCACCTCCCGTCTGCCGCCTCATCCACCGCCTCCTCCTCATCATCCTGATCCCTTCACGTACTCCTCCCTCCTTTCTCATCCCTCATCCCTTATTGCGTGTTGTTTCGTGTACAAAAATCAAGCGGGGGGCGGTGTCGGGGGAACCTAAGGCCAGCCAACACATTCCTCATCAAAACTCGGCGCCAGTGCTGGACGTTTGCTTCTGCCTGAAACTGAGACATAACACATTCAGCGATTCCCCTGGCTCCTATCCGCGTCTGCGGGGGAAGGATATCTAACTTAAGTGGTAGGGCTAGCCACATCTCTGCGCTGCGCGAAGCACGAAGCGCGATCATCCTCTCGCCCTCGGGCGACCCGAATGCGAAACACAAGCGCGATTATCTTTGCACCCATGCGGGTCAGCTAACGTGTAAACCGCTAGTGGCCATCCTGCAAGAAGCTTGTGCTCAGAATACCTTTTGACGGCCTTCCTCGCTTCTGAGGTCTGGTGCGTGAGCAGAACGAGGAAGAACGCCATCGAAGCGAACAAACATCGTGATCATAGCCACTACTCCTTAGCGGTTCCGCGTAGAGAAGTACAAAGCGAATCTCGTGGCGCATGAAAAACAAGTCAAGCTCGAACTATAAATCGCAACTTAAAGCGATGTAGCAAACAAGGGCGCCGAGCAGTCGAAAGTTGGAAGAAAGCGAGGTGCACAGGCAGCCACAATCGCTCCCAGCACCTACCACTGTGCGGCTAAGGTCTACCCGAATCTAAGGAGGGAAGGAAAATGCTATCGAGGCGAAAGAATATGGCGTCTGGCATGTCCGCTCTTGGAGCTAGCATGCTCTGCCGGCGTTGAAGCAGGCTGGCGCTCTGAATGGTCTCAGGCAGGCCAGCAAACACACTCACCCGCAAACCAAATGGCAAACTTGCCCTCTTTCACAGCCCGGCACTGGACTGTGAGACAGGAGGAAGACGGAGGAGGCAGGACAAGGAAAGGAAGACGGAGGACGGATGATGACGACGACTGCGCTGGCCGACGACCCCTACCAACGGCCCGTCCACCCCGTCCACCCTTTTGACTCTGGTCGCCTGCGCCACAGCCATACTGGCAGTGCGGGCCGGTATCCGCGCTGCGCGCACGATGAGTAGCGCGGCCCCGGCCCCCGTGCCAGCAGCACGAGGCCGTGCCAACAGCCCGCCGCGAGCAAGGGCGGGGCGAGCCGTAGCGGCCTCCGTCGGCCGCAACAGCGTGCCATAGGGCACGGGCGGCGAGTCGGCAGGCATGCCCGCGACGGTGCCTATGTCCTGCGCGGCAATCTGGGAGGGGGCCCAGAACTTGGCTGATGGCATGCTCCTCTTCACCATCCTCGTCCTCGTCTGCCTCCGCCTCTCCACTCATTATTGATATTGTCCCTGCTATTTTGTGATACCTGGCCCCGTACTTCCCCTGTTAAAAGCACCCGAAGTGGAGCGCCCCAGTTCTGTCAATCCAAACACAACGAAAAGGCGACAAATATATTGTTCAATACTCACGTTCCGTCGTCATCAGCATCATTACCAGGCGTGTGACAGGAACAGGACGCGGTGTACATTGCGCATGCGATCGCAAAGTGTTCTTCACATCGGATGTCTTTGCAGATTATGTCGACAGTTCCGTTCGCGCTTACGCACGGGGCAAATTGTTTCCCGCCGAGGCCCTCGGAAGCGTGGCCACGCGCGAGAAAGCGAATGGTGTTCCCGCATCAGCACAGCGCAGATTTATCTTGGAAGTTGCGTTCGCGCTTGAAAGCGGCGCACGTTTCTTGCCGCCAAGCCCACAAAGAATTATGAACACACTTCGCGGGAGAACTTCAACACTGAAGATGAAGCGCGGCAACCACACGAGCGCGAGGGCCTTCAAAACTACATGAGTTGTTAACCCCGCTTCCGCTTCGAAACCAAGATCCAAATAAGAGTTACCGCGCCTTGCCGTTTCCCCTGCCATCCAGGAGAAGTTGAAATACGCCATGGGATATAAATGCCAGGCCCTAACCGCCATGCTGACTGCGCATTTGATTTGGACCACAATCACAACTCACGCGCCTCCCCCGCACGCACGACACGAATCGAAATCGAACCCGATGTCCCTGTTAGGGCATTTTCGTTTTTACCCCCCTAAACTCTGCAAGAAGACAGAGTGGCAATGGTCGGGGCCCGCTTTCTCGCTCGAGCTGTCCACCTTGACTCCGGCTTAACTCCTGATTATCATGCTTCTTATATGCAAACATACGCGGACGATAAAGGCGGCCCATATACAGTGCAGTGTAGGGAGCCCACGCTGGGATATAACAAACGTGACCATAAATGTGAGGCCGCGACCAGTAGCTCCAGGATCGCATGGACTGGAGCACCATCCACGGCTTAGAAAACTCCTAATTCCTCTGGATCCTCCTCGTCGTCCTCCTCCCCCTGCTCCTCCTGCTCCTGCTGCTCCTCCTCCTCCTCCTCCTCCTCTTCCATCACCTCCTCCTCTTCCTGAGAGAGCGAGGAACAACAACATAAAAAGAGAGAGAGGGAGTCATGGACATGAATATACAACACATACATGTACGAGAGAGACGGAGAGTGAGAGAGAGGGAGGGGGAGGTTTGGTAGACAGCTGAGGGTTCCTGATATTCATGGCGACGTTGACAAGTTTGGAATGTTTTGGGATGGGCTTGGGAAGTTCACCGAGATATGTCTCTGAAGTTCTGAAGCGAGTCCGCAAGTCTTCGGAATTTCCCAGGGCTCCTCAACGAAGACTGGGAAAGATGGTCAACCCGCTCGACGCACGGGGTCCGCGTTTACAGTCCAGGCCAGAAGCTTGATACTCCTCTTCTTCCTAGTCCTCCTCCCACTCCTCCTCCTCCTCTTCCTCCTCCTCCTCCTCCTCATCCTCCTCCCCCTCCTCCTCCTCCTCCTCCTCCTCCTTCTCTTCCTCCTCCTCTTCACCAGCCCCGACAAAAAGGGATGGATGAGCCATTGCGCCCCATCCGACACGTACAGGATTCGCATACCCTGAAGGACATCAGCGCTACACTACAATCCTCCACCTCCTCCTCTCCCTCCGCCTCATTCCCTCCTCATTCCCTCCTCATCCTCCCCCTATCCCCGTCGCTGCTGGACCCAATGGGGGCGTGTGTGGCCCCCGAGCATGACCCTCCTCCGTACGGCGAAGCCAGGACGAGGACAATGCGGACGAAGATAAGTCGAGAAGTCTCTGACATCCGGCGACTCTGGAAGATTGAAGATGTATTGGGCGCCGCGGCCTTCCAGAATGATCTGAGAGCGTTCCAGAACGCTCTGGAACGGATTTATCCTCGTCCGAGCCCAGACCGACATGCTCTTCCTCCTCCTCCTCCTCCTCCTCCTGCTCCTCGTCCTCCTCAACCTCCTCCTCCTCCTCCTCATCCAGGAGAGTGGCGGCGCGGACGACTCCACGTACACCACGGTGAGCGACCGGACGAGGGGACAGCATCTCAGCAGGCAGCTCCTCCGAGCGATGGCCGTTGCTGAGGATGCGAAGGGGGCGCAGGACGAGAGGGAGGAGGACGACAACGCCACGAGAACAAGGAGGAGGAGAGAGAGTAAGACTTGGGTAAATCTTCTGAAGTTTTACAAAGATGTGGGGGGATCTCGGGAGAGGGTGGCAAGAAGTGGGGGAGGGAAGGAGGGAGGAAAAGGAGAGAAAGGATTGAGGGAAAGGGAGGGAGGAGGGAGCAGGAGGAGGATGTCAACCGTTCACCCACAGCGATCCTGACCAAGCCCATGAACGGTCACAAACCGTCCGGCTCGCATTGGCAAGCAGCCGGAAAGCAGCAAAGAGAGCGAGAGGGCACGAGCGCTGGCTCGGGCGTCCTCCGGCGCTCCCGAAGGGAGAAGCAGGAATGGCACCGAGCCCACTGGCGCCAGCACCCGACGACAGCAGCGCCTGGAGGCGCGGAGAGTGGGGCAGGCCAAAAGCCCCGTTACGCATCCCGCGAAGATTCACGTGCATGCCCTTTGCATCCCGCGGCGCGTGGCTCTGCATAATTTGGCAGTCCATGACATGCCCCAGAACGTCCTTAATGAGATCCATCGAACACTAGCGCCACTCATCTGTGAAGCTGGGACTGCTGGCCAATCCGCTGTAAACTAAGGCAAGCCAATACATACATTACCGCTTGGGAAGCGCCAGCCCATCCGCTATCGTGCGGCACAGCGGCAGAAGGGATGCACTGGCAAGCACTGTTCGATCATCCGCTTCCCCGGTCCTCGTCAGCGGTGTTGGGCCAGCGTCACTTCCACTCAAGACGGGCGCGGACAGGCGCGACGCAGGAGACAGTGGCGAGGCCACCCGAAGCCGCCAAGGAAGCAGCCGTTCCCGCCAGGGCGGCCAGGCCGAGGCCTCCGCCGAAGTGTGGCGGGCACGCGGTGCGTCACTCAATCGGCCGTCTGGCGCACCGAGGCCGCCGTGAGCCGCCGCCGAGGCCGCCATGGAGGTCGCACCCGTGAGGTTCCGCACGCGCGGGGCGCCACACTTGTCGCACGAACAATCGGTCCAGGGTCCACTCGCTGGCGTCAGATATCGTGCAGATGCGTCTGATGTTTCCGAGGCCGTGAATGGACATGCGGATTGCACACAGCACACGCCAGCACGGTGGAGGTGGTCATGAAAAGTCGCCGAACAAGGCGAACGGCGATCGGCAGAGATGAAAGAGAAAAGGAGAAAGCTGAGAGAAAGATAAATAGAGAGAGAGAGAGAGAGAGAGAATCAGAGGCAGCAGCGTGGAATGGGGACTCCCCGCTGCAATGTCCCGGCGGAAAACCACGGGTCACGCCCGGAGGCCGCGAGGAGGACATCCACTTTTACGCCCATAACTATCCTCTTTGACGTCCACCACCTCATCCTCCCCCGTCATCCGCAACAAGCACCTACTCGTGCGCCTTCTCGGGCGGCGCCACCCTGGCATCCCCCTCCCCGTCGTCGTCCTCCTCCTGGCCATCCTGGTTTTCCTCCTCCTCCTCCTCCTCGTCCTGCTGCTCCCCTCCTCCTCCTCCTCCTCCTCCTCCTCCTCCTCCTCCTCCTCCTCCTCCTCCTCCTCCTCCTCCTCCTCCTCCTCCTCCTCCTCCTCCTCCTCCTCCTCTCCTCCTCCTCCTCCTCCTCCTCCTCCTCCTCCTCCTCCTCCTCCTCTCCTCCCCTCCTCCTCCTCCTCCTCCTCCTCCTCCTCCTCCTCCTCCTCGTCCTCCTCGTCCTGTTGCTGCTCCTCCTCCTCCCTTACCTCCTCCTCCTCGTCCCCCCCCATCCTCCTCCACCTGCTCCTGCGCCAGATCATGAATAAGACGCGGCAGGCTGCGTGAATCAGACGGCGCCAATGCACCTACATCCGCGGGCAGCTTGCGCGCGGGTGAACGCGCAACGATCCCCGCGGCATCGCGCCCCCAAGTTCAAACTAGGCGGTGCAGCGGACCGCTCCTGTCAAAGCCTCGCCCCCCCCCCCCCCCCCCCCCCCCTCGGGGGCGGTTAACCCACCCATCCCGCTAGCAGACCGTGGAGGCCTTGAATAAGGAATCCAGTGTTTGGAGCCTTATGAAGATCCACTTGCGTGGAACGGGGGGGGGCAGAAGATGTCCACCCCCAATCATTGTGAGTTCTCTACCCTCCCTCCGTCTCCTCTCCCTCCCTCCTCCTTCCCGCCTCCCTCCTCCCTCCCCCCTCCCTCCCACCCTTCCTCCGCCTCAGATCCCCTGGAAGAGGGCGGCAGGTGAGCGGTGCGGTTGCGGTTGCGCGCCGCGGGCGGGTTGAAATGTGTCGCCCACTTGGGGTTGCGGTTGCGCGCCCGCGGGCGGGTTGAAATGCGTCGCCCAGTTGCGCTTGCGCGCCCGCGGGCGGTCTCACATGTGTCGCCCAGTTGCGCCTGCGGTTGCGCGCCCGCGAGCGGGTTGAAATGTGTCGCCCAGGTGCGGTTGCGGTTGCGCGCCCGCGGGCGGGTCGACATGTGTCGCGTAGTTGTGGTTGCGCGCCCGCGGGCGGATTGAAATGTGTCGCCCAGGTGCGGTTGCGGTTGCGCGCCCGCGGGCGGTTTGAAATGTGTCGCCCAGTAGCGGTTGCACTTGCGCGCGGGTCGAAATGTGTCGCCGGTTGCGCGCCCGCGGGCGGGTTGAAATGCGTCGCCCAGGTGCAGTTGCGGTTGCGCGCCCGAGGGCGGGTTGAAATGTGTCGCCCAATTGCGGTTGCGGTTGCGCGCCACGGGCGGGCCCGCCCAGTTGCGTTGCGGTTGCGCGCGCGGGCGATTGTGAGCTTGCGCGCCCGCGGGCGGGTTGAATTGTGTCGCCCAGTTGCGGTTGCGGTTGCGCGCCCGCGGGCGGGTTGAATTGTGTCGCCCAGTTGCGGTTGTGCGGCCGCGGGCGGGTTGAAATGTGTCGCCCAGTTGCGGTTGCGGTTGCGCGCCCGCGGGCGGGTTGAAATGCGTCGCCCAGTTGCGGTTGCGGTTGCGCGCCCGCGGGCGGGTTGAAATGGGTCGCCCAGTTGCGGTTGCGCGCCCGCGGACGGTTTGAAATGTGTTGTTCAAGGCGCCCTCCTGATGTTCAATCAGTCAATCAGTCAGTGAATCAGTCGGTCAGTCAGTCAGTCACCGGCGGGCACGGAATTTCACCCGGCTCCGCCGGAAACAAAACAAAAAATCCGCCGATCCAGCGTGTGAGTTCCTGAGAGCGTGGGCTTGAGCTCGCTCAAGCTTCGCTCTGGCGAGGGGGGGGGGCTGACGCGAGCTGACGCGGGCTGACGTTTTTCCCGCCCCGGGACCCGGGACCCCGGACCCGGGCGCGTTCCTTCGGGGCGGGGAGGGATGGGAGGGAGGAGGGAAGGGGGGGGGGGGGGGGCTGACGCGAGCTGACGCGAGCTGACGCGGGCTGGCGCGGGCTGACGCGTTTCTGGCCCCGGGACCCGGGACCCGGGCGCGCTCTTGGGAAAGGGGGGGGAGCGCGAGCTGACGCGAGCTGACGCGGGCTGACGCGGGCCGACGCCTTTCCGGCTCCGGG